TGTGACCGGCTAATGGTGAAAACTAAGCAGCCAATGGGCTCTCTAGTCCCACGTGTCTTTGAAAGTAAGAAAGCTTGAGAAGAAGAGAACCGTTACAAATTCTGGTCATTGCCACTGCAAGCGAACGCGCGGGTCCAAGGAAGTAATGGAGAAGAGGAAGATGTGATCACTAGGACAAGACATTTAATTGCCTGACGTTTCGAAATCCGTCACAGATCCTTCATCAGTGACATTAGCAGAAACAATAACAGACAAGTTTCTGCTAATGTCTCTGATGAAAGATCCGCGACGAATTTCGAAACGTCAGGTAAATAAAAATCTTGTCCCAGCGATCGCATCTTCCTCTTCTCAATTCTGATCATTATTCGAAAAACTTTATTTTCGGGCAGTAAATGAAATTGAACTTCTTAGATATTTTTTATTTGATTAGGTGTCAAGATGGTCAAGGTGATGATAGGAAGTGAGGCAGATATAAGGAGGCTATACCAGATTAAACAATACCGGTAGTAATACTAAACTGAAAGTAATAATGACGTAACAGACTTCTACTTAACAAAGTATCGGCATAATGATAGGATGAACAGCCCTATATGGGGCAAAGACAGTGGACGTAACCTTAGCGTGAAACGTGACCGCTTAATGCATTTAGTCGTTAACAGAATGAAAAAATGTTTAAAATGATTAGTGATGCATTTCAGGGAGGCAAAGTATTTTTGAGTCTTAACCCCAACATTATACTCAGCTTTAACTTTGATCTTGACCCTAAGTTTACCCTTAGCCTAAACCTAACAGTTAACACGAACCCACTTCTTAAGTCTTAACATAATCCTAACCCTTACCACAACTTTGACTTTTAATTCCACTACTTATTGATGAACGTTCACCTGACCACTTACGGAACTCATGCATCCCGCTCTGCCTTGGGTCTCGACCGGGGCCCTGACAGCCGTAACAGCTGGACGTAGGTAGGTATTATTGTCGGCAAAGACAAAGGAGACTAAAATACACATTTCTGGTTCATTAGACGTCGTCAGCCAGTCATATGTAGACTCAAATGGTGTCCCATCCGAGCCTCGATCTCGTGACGTTTTTGATCAAAGTCAAACGCCTTAACCATTGAGCCGCGAGCTCGTTGTCTCGCGGGTTTAAGTTGGGAGACATTGACATTCGTTGATGAACGTTCACACGACCGCTAATGAAACTCATCTGTCCCGCTCTGTCTAGGGTCCCGACATAGGCCCTAACAGTTTGTATTAATAGGCAGATAATATTATCGGCAAAGACGAGGAAGACTGGAATGCCTCAATCTTAAACCTGACCTTAAACTTCACCCTAAAGCTCACCTTAATCCTAAACCGAGTGTCCCCAGAATTCGGTGCAAAGCCACGTGTATTGTAGGCGGTCCACGTTTCCATGCCTTGTTTAGGCAGCCGTACAAATCATCTTTACCAAGTAAATTCCTAAAGACTTCACCAAGAGTACACGAATAAAAAAAGAGTCTTGGAGAAGATAAATTGCAATAGACCTCTGTGATAAAAAACGACCAAGCAGCAGCAAATATATCCTGCCGCCTAAAATCTTGGCAGAACACTGGAATTTTACGCCTCGCAACAGATCGACTTTTTGATTTATTTTTTAAAAGCCTAGTTTAGCAATTTCGGCTGAAATGGAGGCGTTTAACTAATGATAAAAAA